ACACACACACACACACACACACACACACACAAACTGTATCACACACACAGACATACACACACACATACACACACACACACAGACATACACACACACTCGCAAGCGTGCACATACACATACACTTACACATAAACATACACATACACATACACATACTCATACACATATGCATACACATACACGTACTCGTACACATACACAAACACATACACACACGTACACATAAACATGGACATACACATACACACATACAAATACACAAACATACTTTAAAAAAAAGTTTTAGTAGAGGTTTTACGGTGCCCGCAACTGCATAAGGTTATACGAAGGCCAGAAGATTAGAGGTGTTACAAGAGAGTAGCAAACATAAAAAGAAGAAGGGAAGATAAAGACGATAGATGCTTCATAGGAATGAAGAAGCAAAACACACCAGATCACTCGCCAACCACCCACAAACACACATGTACGCAGGAACACGAACACATACACGAACACATAACCATACACCATACACATACACATACACATACACATAAATACACACAAACACATGCACACATTATACACATTTTACGAGGCAGAACTACGTCTATAAACCCAAAAATATCAACTCACACATAAACGCACACACACTGCGAGCGCGCACATAGACACGTATGCACTCATACACATACACATAAATATACATATTCACTTACACATACACATAATGTACACATACACACATAAACATACACGTACACACAGACACACACGCACACACACAAACAAACATACACGAAATTGTTCTCGATGGTACTCACACACACGAACGCAAAACAATGTGTATGACAGATTTCTTCATAAAATGATTTCAATGCATCAACATTCAAAATTTCGTGAACAATAACAAGTTTTATGAGCCAGAGCTATACAAACACAAAGATGCCAAAATAATATCAAAGCCAGTCTGATGAACTTAATTTTAAATCAATTAGAAAACTATTTTAAGTTTTCTTTAACTAGCGGACACGTATGTATTTGTTCGCTATCTATATGTTCGTTATGTATATTTTCGTCATGTTTATGTTTGCTATGTATAT